ATTCCTGTGGAGGAATGGCGATGGTACCTGTTCAAGGTCCATGCCGAGTGCCTGAAAGCCCAACTGAAGATTGGATGTGTATGAGCAATATATGTTCCTGTTCTGTGTTCAAGGTGCCTAATCAAGGTTGTTCCTTGTCTCCTAATGGTTTGGATTGCTCTCTCTGCCATGCCGTTGGTTTCCTTCTGGCCACTGACTGCGTCCTGCAAGACTGTTCCTAGACCTAAAGCTGCTCTCTGCTTCTGGATGACTTGCTTCAGCTTCATCATTGTTCCTTCGTTGTCTGCCTTCAAGTTGATAGTTCCGTATCCAAGTTGAGTACTCAAGTAGGTCACTCCTTCGCAAAGGTGCTCTACAAGATCTTTTCCTTTAGATGCTGTCGGGATACAGACCATGTTCCTACTCCAAGAATCAACACACACAAGACATACTGCCGCTGGTGCCTCATCATGACTTGTTCCTGTAAAACAGAAATCCATACAGAAAGTTGGTCTCGAAGATCTTTCCTTCTCTGGGTTCTCACGAAGGTGTGGAGACTCTTTTCCTTTGCATGCTACACACGTCGGACACCAAGATGCATAAGGTAAGTGTGTGAGATTATGCACTGCAACTTCCTCCGGCTTTGGCTGTTTGGGTACCTTCAGAGGTTCAGCTTCTAGAAACTCCTTGTACTTCTTCTGGCCTGAAACAAGTTCCATGTGTCTTTCTGCTTCCATGATGGATCTACTGAGCCTTCTGAGGATCTCTTGCTTAGATCCAGCTTTTGAAACTCCTAGTTCCTTGCACAGTTCTCTCAGGGCCTTGAGGCTGTTCTGCTGGTTGTACTCATGACCATTGAATGTAAACGACAGTTCTCCTGCAAGTTCGTGCCTGTGCGCTGGTGCTTGGGCCTCTGAGGTCTCTTCCTGTTCTTCTTCCTGTTCTGGAATCGTGTCCAGTTGGTGAACCTTCTGTTTTGGTCTTCTGGCCTTGGGGTTCACTGGTTCGATGAGTTCGAATACACTGCGTCCTGTCCAGGATAAACCTCCTAGTGGTTCTGGGTCTCTGTGAGGCTCATCCAAAGTCCAGAACTTGTCATCCTCAAAGAAATCCTTGTTGATCGGTTCTTCTCCATACGTGTACCTGTCTGGTTTGAGGTTTCCTATGTCCACTGGAATGTCATTGGTATCTCGAGGATTGAACAAAGTTTTCCTCAACGAGTTGTGGTACCTCGTGAGTGTGGTGCCATCCATGCTGATTGACCATGCATCCTCAGTGTACTCTTCAAACATCTTTCGGTCTTCATCTTCCTTGGGGGTGCCTATGAGGTTCAGCGGAAATTCCTTGAGCGATACTAGCGTAAGTGTGCGGTACTCCTTGCTACCATCGAAGATTGTCCCAAACGGTTCTTCAAGTTCCTCAAACATGATGCTGTGATGCAACAAATACCACTGATCATCATCCTCAATAAGCACTGCTCGATATGCGAACTTTCCTGGTGGAAACATCAAGTAAGTATCAACGTGTTCTGAGGTTCCTAGGCTGAAGTGGACTTGGTAAGGGTCTCGCCAGTTGGTCCAACCAACACGCTGTTCTTCAATGAGTTCCTTCAAGTTCTCGCACAAGTACATAGGGATAGGCTTTGCTTCTGCTTCCCAGTTGACTGCTCTCACAAAGGCTTTTGTTGTAAGTGAGTTGTTGTTGTAGTTCACTGCGATCTTGGTTGTTCCTTCTGTTAGGAAAGTGCCTGTTGCTGTTCCATCTCTGAACTCCCAGCCTTTCTTCAACAGTTTACCTACTGCCAAAAGAGGGTGCACAACCGATGAAATCAAGAACACTTCTTCAACCTTCACAATGTTTCCTTGAATATCCCGAAACTCAACTTCAATAATCCTTTGGTCTGAAACCTTAATTCGGGATCCTTGCGCATCTCGCAAAACTACCTTGGTAGTGTTGGGTGCTTTCCTTCCGTACTTCTTCATCCACATTGGTGCCAACGAAATGTCGGCTCCTGAATCCAGCACAACCTCGATCTCTCGAGTTCTCGTGTTCCTCGCTGCACGCGCAAACCTAGTAATGGTCCTTGAGGGTGCTGTTCTCTCTACTCTGTTCCTTCTAGGAGGATGGTGACATCCGTTCTCACATTCCTGCATGTCTGGGTGCCACGGTGTTTCATGACATCCATTGGGACACTCAAAGTAGTATCCACGGTCCTGAGTTCCTATCAGAGTTCCTTCTAGGTGCCATTGCAACCATGCATCATCACTCACCTCATCACAGTCCTGAAACTCATCATCTTCATCACCAATCCAAAACTCTTCTGTCTCACTTCTCTCTTCCTGAACTTCTTCACCAACAACCCGCAAAACTCTTCCGAAGTACTCAATCTCTATCTCATCAGAGTTCTCACTCATCTCGAATTCCTCCGGAAAGCTTGTGGGCTCGTCTCCCATGTGGTACATGGAGACCATCCTAATCACTGGTCTTTGGGTTCCTTGGCTTGCTTGGCTTTGGCTTGTTGAGGTCTTGTTGGCTGACGAAGGGGCCTGAGTCGAAGTACCTGTAGTGCTCGCTTGCTCGCTCTGGTTTTCAAGGTCAACGTTCCTTGCCTGATAACCCATGTCACGCATCTTCTGCCTACACTGTGCTTCGAAATGTCCATACTTATGGCAGTAGTGACACACTCCTGTAGCTGCTTGGGCTTTTCCTTTACCTTTTCCTTTGTGTCTGAAGAAACCTCTTCCTCGACCTTTGCCTTTTCCTTTGTAACCTCTGAAACCTCTACCTCGGCCTTTCCAGTTGCCTCGACCTCTGCCTTTGCCAAAACCTCCGAAACCTTTACCTTTACCTTTGCCTTTGCTGTCAAAGCCGAAACCTTTTCCGAAGTCCTTTCCACCTTTCTTGCCTTTTCCTTTACCTTTCCCTTTATGGTGAACATAACCTTTGCCATAGCCTTTCCTTCCTTTGTACCATGCTTGGTTGATATCCATTGCTGCAAGACCACCATGGTCATCACCTTTATCGATCAAGTCTGTTGTGGTTCGGTGAGGTGTTCCTTGCTGGCCTGCTAAAGAGTTAGTCCAACGCTCGGTTGACTCATAGTTCACAAGGTACTGACGAAGAGTATTGTACTGTGTCTTCTCATCCATGTTGAGCAACAAGTGCCTTTTCACTTCAGGTTTCATACCTTGGATAAGAGTAGATACTTTCAAATTCTCCTGTACCTTTTCTCCAGTCGCCTTCTCGTACTTCTCGATGTGTTCCTCATATTCGAGGATATTCTCAGCAATTCCTTTGTTGTGAGCAAATTTGTAGTTGAGAATGTTGTGAAACAACTCCAACGATCTCGCACGATTCGTTGGTTGATATTCCTTGAGTAGCATACGGTAAGCTTCCATACCGTTTTCCTCAGCTACATGCTTTACAACTCGGTACGGCCTTCCTTTAGTGTACGAACAAAGAACACTGTACAGGCGTCGGCTTGTTTCCTTTGCTTCTGCAGACATCTCAGCCATCTTCACTTGTTTATCATCTTTTAGGTTCCTTTCTGCGATGTCCATGATCTTCACCATGTTGGAATCCACTGCTCCAAGCCAGATCCGAATCCTGTTCCTGAACTCTGTCCATCCACTCTTCTCTTCTTGCCATGTTCCTGGGGAAAATGCTTCGGGGCTTTTAATCAGCTTGTGCAACTCCACTTCTCCAGGCTTTCTTTGTTCCTTTACTGCTTTCTCCAGAGATGCTCCTATCTCCTCAAGTGTCGTTGCTGCGTTCGTGTGGGCGTCTGCCAACGCTGTTTGTGCTGTCTTCTGTTGTTCCTGAACTGCTGTCAGGGTTTCCTGGAATGCTTGTGTGAGTCCTGCTTCTCTTTGACTTCCTGAAGCTGCTGAGTTCCTGATCTCCTCTGCTAGTGTTTGTATTCCTTGTAAGGTCTGTGCATTGATCTCGGCAAGTGCCTTCAATGCATCCTCCATTCCTTTTGCTGCTTCAAGGTTGCTGTACACTAGTGCTGCTAAAAGTAGTGACTTGCACTGTTTCCTGCTCACTGCTTGTGCTCTCCTTTCTCCTCTTGTCTTCCTTTGGTGCTTCGAGCGGTTGCTTGCTCTTGCGAAAAACAAACTAGAATAGTACGACAGGGTGATCCAAGTAATCAGTCCCATTGGGGTTCCTAAGAACACTGCTATGCGAATTCCTTGAAATACAACTCTGTTGGAAATGACTTCCTGAACTATCACATGCACGACGTCGTGAAACTTCTTTCCTACGGTTGCTAGCTTTTCTACGAAACTGTGAACATGTTCCTGTACAACTTTCCTCAGTACTTCTCGCTGTTGTTTTACTAGGTACCTAGGGGCGTAGCCTGACTCAAGGCTCTCACTCTCCTGGTTCTCGGTGTTCTGGTCGCCGTTCCTGTTCTCTTCCGTGTAGTACTCGCCGGTCACGCTAACGACGCTGTAGAGCTCGTTCATCACTTGGTTCGCGCACAACAAAGCGTACGGTACCATGACTTTTCCTATCTCCACATAGTCCTTAATCGTGTACGCGTTCGTGTTCCTGATCGTGTTCACGTTGGTGCCGTCGGGGTTCACGCTGCACTCGTTGTAGCCTTGCTGGTAGTACTCGCCGTACACGTCATAGTTCCTGTAGCGGTTCCGGTGCGTATTGGGGTGCGTATTGGGCTTCCTTCTGCTCGACCACACTGCCATGAGCTCGCTCTCGTCACTCTCAACGTACGGTAGTTCCTTTCTCCCACGGCTCGCTTCCTTGGAGGATAAGGCGTCTCCAAGGGCAAGTTCTTCCTTGGTCTCCACTTTGTTGCCAAGGGCCTGCCACGGTCTCACCGCCATACTTCCTGCTCCTGGGACCAAGATCATCCCGCACAAAGTTGCGAGGCTTCCCAGTGCGAAACCAACCAGCAGCACCATGCATGCTGCCAAACCGTAGCATTGTGAGGTTCCAGGAGCCTAGCACTGGGTGGTATGTTCTAGAATTAAAAAGCGTTTATGGAGTGTTTTCGGAGCATTCTCGGAAAGCGTTTTGGCAGCAGTTCCTGTGGAGAGAGCGTTTGTCAGAAGCGTTTTGGTTGATGTGCGTGTGTGTGTGTGTGCCTTCTGTCTATGCCCAGCAGCAGGCGAAAGGCAACATGAGCCGGAACAGCGACACATAGGCCTCAAGAAGCACACGAAACTAACAAACATATGAGAATAGGCTGAACAGGGCCCGACCTAGCAACTCGCATCTCGCGGCAGCCGGCATGTCCACACGTATATTGGCTTGTGGAGCTGCATGTTTTGCGTCTGCCAAGCTTGCCGGGGTATATCACGGATAAAACGCAATCCTTTAACAGAAGTGCGTTGGGATCCCTCATGTGCGACTCATGCAAGTATAAGCTTTACTGCTATGCTGTTATGCTAGGAGGCTGTTACGGGAAATATGGCAGGAAATCAGATCAGAAGTACCCCTTTATGTGAACCGAGCCCGACTGATGCCTCTCCCCGTAACAACTCACCCTCACTGAAACGGCCCTCACCACCTATAAACCTTTCTCCCAAACCCTATTGCACTGTTCCCAAGCTCTTGAAGAGGTTCAAAGGCAGGCCTGAACAGTTTTCAAAGCGTTTCCAAAAAGCGTTTTGGTAGCGTTTTTCCGAGTGGTTATTTTCCGAAAGCATTTGGCAAAGCGTTTTCGGAGCGTTTCCGGAGCGGTTTCGAAGCGCTTCCGGAGCATTTCTGGACCTGCGGAGCGTTTCTGAGCGTTTTCGGAGCGCTTCCGTTTACGAAGCGTTTCTGGACCTGCGCGCGGAGCGTTTTCGGAGCGTTTTTGGAGCGTTTTCAGAGCGTTTTTGGAGTGTTTTCGGAGCGTTTTTGGAGTGTTTTCGGAGCGTTTTTGGAGTGTTTCTGGAGCGTTTCCGGACCGGCAGAGCGTTTTCAGAGCGTTTCTGGAGCGTTTCCGGACCAGCGGAGCGTTTCTAGAGCGTTTGCGGGTTGTTTCAGAAGCGACGGAAAGCATGAATTTTCTTGGAAAGGACCACGCCGTCCTGTCCGGCCCCAATGCAACCACCCACTGGCCCAAATCTACGAACGCAAGCAACCTGCGCCCGCAGTGCGGAGGTATGTTTACGTTCCTACCCTTAAGGAAACTTGCATGGGTAGTCTCCGGTTGCAGGCACGATCCTAAGAGTAGCGGTCCAGGCTTCGGGGCTTGGGGCTTACGGCCGGGTCTTGGATGTTGCGGCAGCTTCGAAAAGTTGCAGGTTGGAATTTAGACTCTAGTTCACGTACGGCGAGAGCAGACACGACGTTGGGCATGTAACTGATCGTCGCATGGTTTCGGTAAATGCTGGAAAACTGCTGCTACTACTCCTGCATGCTGCTTCAATGCTACTCCTGCTCTCGGCAGACACTTCTGAAACTAGCTCACACCACCGACCATCCAATGGCTAATTAGCGGGTAATTACAAAACGCTTTCTCAAAACGCACGTGCCCAAGAAAACGCTCCCAACACGCTTTTTGAAAACGCTTTGGAAATGCTTTGGAAACGCTTTTTAATTTTTTCGATGTATTCCAATCCAAGGCTGCTTCAGAACGTTATAACCGTAGCACTTCATGTTCCTTTTCTCTTTCTCTTCCACCAACACTCGGTCGGGGTAGCAATCGCTGCAAGCGTCAAAGTCTCGCGCATTTCCTGCTGTCACGTTGTGGTTACGAAGGTGTCCACAACCTCTGCGGTGGTACTTTGTTCCTGAACGGACTGCGATCCTGAGCGTGGGCATGTTGAGCACTGTCTCTGTCTTCTTGGTGATCTGCTCATTCGCGCGCATCTGCTTCCATCCGGCAACGAGGCAAACTGCCATGGCGCCGAGCACCATGGTTCCTATGGCTACGAGTAGCATCATCGCTGCCAAGGAGATTCCTGGAGGCAGCTCCGCTACCATGTTAAAGAACGGGCTTCACTAAGCTTCCTACTCACAAACTGAAGCGGTCACTTTTCCTTGTGGGTCACTGTGTCCGCTGGTCTTGAGCCTTGCACGTCGCGTGTGCGTGACGGCTGTTCCTGTACATTAACTGCACTGCACTAACTGTGTTACTGTTCCTGGCAAGATGTTTAACAGTTTCCCTTTTGTAAGGATTGGTTGTATCGTGAAGCCCAAAGGGCTGTGCCAATCTTTGTCAGAGGGACTCAACCATAGGTCAAGGTTAGAAAAAGTTGAGTAGTACTGCTTGACTGATACAAACAGACGGATATCAATATCCCTGTTATTGTTCATGTCCTGCCACATATCTGAGATTCGCTCCCAGTATGTTCTTTCGGCGGCAGGTGTGACATCTCTTGGACTAGGTGACGCCGTGTGCGGCGTTTTACTCCAGTCAAGGATATAACTGTTGATACAGTCAAGGTCAGCAACTTTCTTCGCCGGGTCCGCCGGTAGACGATCTGCACGTGCCAGTCTGTGCTGGTCGGAGTTGTTCAAGCAAAGATGTCGCACTTGTGAGTGCCTTCCTGCTATTTTGTTGAATGCTGCAAGTTTCTTCTCCAGGTATAGAGAAAACAAACTGTTTCGCGGGTGAACGTCTCCACCTTTTAAGGTGAGCCTCGACGCAATATTATTGAGATCTCCCGCTATTACATCCGGTTTAAAAGGGAGAATCTCGTTGAGGAACGCGTTCACCAGTTCGCGTCTCTGTTCTTCCTTATGAGTCATGAATGAGTTGAAATGGACGATCGCGATGGTGATGACCTTGTAAGGCCCTTTTGTACACCACATCTCGTCAAGATCGTTCGATGCTTCTTGTGAGAAGATCTCTGCGTATGACTCAAAGTCTTCCTCTGGTGGCTCATCACCCTCGACATGGCCGTTCCATTCACAGAGAACCGGCGAGGGGTCGAGGTTCGACAGTGTCAGGCACGCCTCTGGTGAGAGGTAAGAGCCATCAGTGGGTCCATCCTTGTCAGGATTTTTGCCCTTGAGTGGGTCATATCCGATAATCTGCATGAACTCGTCTCTCGTCATCCTTTGGCCAGAATATGGGTGGACCCATTCTTTTGCCTCTGGGATGGTACTGTGGTACCCAAAGGTGAGGCGGCATACCGCACCGTGGCATGCCCACAGTCGCTTCTTGGGACCACCATTCTTAGGCTTCATTGTTCGATGACGGTAAAAGTGGTGGACGAGAGCGATGTCTGTTGTTGGGTCACCCTTGACTCCAATATACATCGAGGGTGCCTCAGGCTCCTTGGGAGGAGAATGGATTAGCATCCCCCTGTATTCATGTTGTCGCATGGTTGCGATCGAATACTCTGACGCAAGTGCTCCTGCCTCGAGTACGAGGGTAATATGAGCTGAATTGTTGAAGCACATGTCAATAAGAGGGTGATAATCGAATCCCTTCTCAGGTTTGAGCTTCTTTTTGGGATTCCCTGCGGGCACCGGCGCTCGATCCATATTTCCCCAGTTGAATACCACTAGGTTTAGCGATACGCTGTCTGGGTTTGAGCCTTCAATGTATTCTCTCTTCTCGTTAACACCGGCCATCCTATTGCGAACTATCTCGTAATGTGCGTCGAGCACCAGTTTGTCTTCGTAGCCAGTAAGAGAGAGAAAAGAAGCCGGATGGCTTGTTCTAGAGTCCTTGATGTTGATGTGACTCTTGTTAATGCTCTTATATTCCTCCAGGGTTGGAGCCTCTGTGGAGCTGTCATACGTATTCGGAGGATTGTTCCTAATATCATCAAGGCTGCATGGATCAACGCCTGGATGGTCCTTTTCGAACAGACTTCTTGCGTGGTCGCAATACATGTTGATTTTCTGGACTGCCAAATCTACGTCCTCATGTGTGAGGATGGCCTCGTATAAAAACTGACGCTCTTCTGAGGTCATTCCTGCTCTCACTTTGGAGGTCTCAAGGCAATCGATTGGCAAGACGCACTCGCACATCCGTTGTTTACCCTGTGGGGTAAGTCGACAGTCTGCACATACAATCGTACCACAGGAATAGCAAAAATAGCCTGTAGGCTGTTTGCAGAGATCGCAGAGAGGATTGTCTGGTCGAGGCAACATTCGTATCCTTTGGTTAAGGCTCATGGCTGTCCTGCGTACTCCTACAAATCTCTCCTTGTTAGGAGGTGCAGAGGAGGAAGATGCCGACTCTCTGGGTCTGTCCCACTCCTCTTCGTCAGGAGCCTCAGAATCTTTGATCATGAGTGGACTTCGGATTTTTCGATTCCATCGACTAACCCAGATTCTCTCTTGCATTTCCTGTTGCATAGCCGGGTTAGACGATGACTTCGAGATTCGGTGCTTGGTATTTTCTCGAATTCGAGCGCTGATGCGCTCATGTTCTCTTACGAGGTCTTCCTCATCAGCAGGCTCCTCGTATTCGAGGTTGAGCTTGCTTCTGTTGACTCGATAATAGGTTTCTGTTTCAGGATCGAAGAGAACTAGGAATTTTTCCTTCTCCTTTTTAGGAGATTTTGGTTTCCTTGGCTCTTCGTCTGAACTCTGAACATATTCTGTTTCAGGCTTTGGTTGGTCAAGTTTGACCTTCTCAAGTTTCTCTGTGATCTCTTCCGTGGGAGATTCTTTCTTCTCCTCTGACGCTGCAGGTGCAGAGTTCGTCTTGTGAGACGGATTAACATCAACTCGGAGTTCTGAGGATGACGAAGATTTTGAGCTCTTTTCGCTCTTTCGCTCTTTTCGCTTGATGCCGACTCAACGTCTGATTCTTCGTCACAATCCTGGTTAGGATCTGGTTCCTCAGGTTCCGTCTCTGTTCCAGAAGATTCTTCCTTGGGAGGAACTACGTTGGCAGAAGTATCCTGAACAGGTTCTGGAGGTTTGTGACCTGTCGTTATCTTAAGAACTTCAGTGGCGCTTCTGGTGCCGTCGGAGTTCCAGAGCTGTCCCATAAGACTGTCCGGATCCTTGTCTGCCTCGGCCTGCCGGGCGAGCTTGGATCTCGGATGGATGTCCTTTGTAGTAGTCTCCGTTTTCGGAGGTACCTCACCTGCAGAAGCGGTTTGCTCCAGGTTTGGAGCTGTGTCAGCCTCTGTATTTGGCAAAGAGAAAGACTTCTTGTGAGAAGATCTAGCCTTGGGAGGCTCTGGAGGCAGATTTCGCTTTGACACCTTCCGAAGTGTCGATTCGATCTCTTGGCCGTAATTTGCGCACCATTTCTTCGACTCGTAAGTCGCTGACGGCATCTGTTCGGAGCAGTGGTCTGCCCACCATGGTCCGATGCTCTTGAGCTCATCGTA